GGCGTGTAATATTCTGTTTTGAATGTGCAGAGAATGGGGAATATTGATGATGCTGTTCCTTTTTTTGGGCAAGGGTTCAATAAAATCTATCCCCTCATCATGGTTATATATACCCTATTGGTTGCAAGCAACTTCTTTGACAGGGTAATAGATTTTTTTGGAAGTTGGAAGAGGTTTACGTTCAAAAGCGAAACAGTTGACATGGACGGGTTTGACCCCTCCGGCATAATTATCTTGCAGAAAGGTTAATAGTTTTTTGTCTGGTATTCATGATACATTGCACTAGCATGTGTTTTGAGTGTTATCTGGTTTGGTCTGAGATGCGTTATACCCTATTGAAATGTGAGGCTTTTTCTTTAAACTTTGCGTTTTCTTCTATTTTCAGAAAGATCTTGGCTTGAGCAGGGGCGTAATATTGGCGAGCATGTTATTCCTTTGGCGAGGAATTTCAATGATGCAAGTGTGGACATTGAGGCGAGCAGAAATGACTTAGTATGTAATCTAACTTGTGTTATCAGTAGTCAATGAAAGAAGCATTTGGTCAATCTCTAGTATAATTATTTAGCATTTTTTTGCTCAGTAAGCAATAAACTTTACCAACAACACAATGATTTTTCAACATATACCTGAAATACACATTAGGCAATATGGTATTAACTGATGAGTTATGAAGTTAGTAACGCTCATGCCTTACGTTTATTACCGTATAAATGTCTTGCAGGACAAGGGTGTTGTTGAAATGAAAGCAACAACAAGTATTGTCAAGGACAGTGGGAAAGGATCTCAATCAAAACCTTCAAAAGAAGCTGCTCGAAAATATGCTTCGAGTAGAGAAGATATTGGAAGTAAATATGTTGCCTTAAGAGAACAGCAAAACAGGCAGGGGTCCAACCCTAAACCTACAGAGAAGAACATAGCGTCCGCCACAGTATCATTGCTTAAAGCAAGCAACTCCACAATAGGTGGACCATCTTCAGGATTAGCCTCTACATGGGCAAATATGAAAACAGGTTTTCAAAGTTTCAAGGCTAATATCGGGGCTAAGAAGTTCCTTCCTATTAGTCAGGCCCAGGAAGCAACACTTGTGTCTCACTCTCGGATCTCCTCATCAGAGTCCCTTGATGATATATTTCAGAGATTAAAAAAGCAGCCTGTAGTAAACCATGGGGATTCCAGTGATGAAGAGGATGGCAACACTGATTTAGATTTTGGAGCAACCAGATAATCCTGTATCATTTCAAAGCGAACAAAACCAATAGAGGCTGAGTATAAATTCGCATGTGATATCAACTTTGCTACTTAAACCCGCTAACGCTTTCGATTGTTGGGTAAAAAGCTTCGTGATATTCAAAAGATCTGCAGCTAAGGAAATTCTGCTATCAGAAACTATACACATGATGAAGTAATTGTTCAGAAAAAGACTGAAACGTAGGAGCTACAGCCACGAAGAAAAAAAGATAAGATACCTTGTGGAGGATTTTGTTGTAAAATTTTTAATAGAAGAATATAACTCAACATTCATTTCCTTTCCAAGTTTCTGGAAGTGAAAATTTTGGATTGAATGTTTTTTAATTCAGTCCATTTTAATAGAATGAATGAGATTTTTCACCAGAAACTTTTTTCTAATAGCAATTTCATGTGTCTTTGTACTTCTTACAGACTGGTTGTTAGTTGTTACTGCAAGTTAGTGCAGAACGCTGCAAATCCCAGTGGTGTATGTACCTCACATCCTGAGTGTTCTATGTTTAACTCACAAAAATGTCACACTGTCACCAGCAATAGAATAAACTATAGGATGCTGATATTCTTTTCATTATGGTATTTGCTAAAAATTGAAAGTTTGGTGCTTTTATTCATTCTTATCTATATCTGAAACAATTCATGCAACCCCACTACCCTAGAGGGTGTTGTGACTTGTGAGTTGATTTTATACTGCTGGATGATGATCTTTCTCTCTAACTGGCTATAATTGTTGACAGTATATTAGGATTGTCAGTTGTAGTATTTCATTTCCCTCCTGTAATAAAGTTCAAGGTGTCACTTCAAAACTGAGATGTTGCCTCACTTCAAAGATTGATGATATTGCAGTGTGAAAGAGTGGGCAGAGGACCAACCATCATGATAAATCTGAGGCAAGATAATATATAGGTCCTTGGTATATATTTCATATTATTATTAGGCTTGAGCATAGTTGAAAATGCCGAAATTTCGGTTTATGAAATACCGGAATTTTTAACCGGAATATACCAAGTCTTTGTCGGAATAGTGAAATTTATATTTTTAAAAAATATTA